ATGTCATTTCGACTATTTCGCGACTTTAGCCTCCAATGGTTGAAATGATTTCGACCATTTCGACCATTTCGGATATCCGAAATGATCCATTTCGACTTCATGTATAATTGCAGCATTAAATAATAGTAAAAGTATGATAATTAATAATTTCTAAAACCAAATTTTTTGACTCATGTATGAGAGGTTTAACGTAAAGGTTTATTATATTATAAATAATTTAGATGTACGATTGAAATTAGTATCAATAGTGTTAGCTGGTTATGCTGCAAATAACAATAATGTATCATAACAAGCAAGCCCACTTTGGCGTAAAATGTGTATAAACCTAAGTGTTAAAATGCGTAATCTATATTTACAAGCAATTTTTTCATTTATTACATGTGGTCATTGGTTGGATTTTTTACAAGAGAGGGGGATTCCTTTATAGGATAGTATAGGAATTGCGTTGAGATCTTTGAATAATGAAGAGGTACGTTGAAATAAGAAATATTTTTGTTTTAAAGAAATATTATAATTACGGTTTTCAATAATTTATAATTGTTTAGCTCAATAATTTCTTACGTATAACTGAAAAAGTAATTGCAACTGGTAATATAGATGGAATCATTTTAACTGGTCTTACACCTGAAGGTGTATTATTATTTGAAAATTATATAAATAATACATGCGATGTTCAGATAGCAAGTCTGCACTGAGCTTTTGTGTTCCAAGAAAATTTAAAGATTTAAGAGTGACAAATTGGGTAAAAAGTAAGTTGTTTTTAAAGCCAATGGTTGATAATAATAATAATATTTACCTAAATTAATCTTTTATTTAGTTATTGTATGCAATTAATGGCAAATGTTTCATATATGTGCAAGATTTGATATTACATGTGGTAAACACATGATATCATCAACATTCTCGGCAGCAGATATGATACCACCACAAGTTTACGTAAGATGTAATTTTTATAGTCAAAGTATTATACATAGTTTATTTATACCCGGTATGAAAAGCAAGAACGGAGAGAGATTTACCCTACCAGCTTCGTATTATAGGGCTGCGGTTGGAATGATATCTAAAAAAAGATATTTCCTTTAAAATCAGCTCATTGATTCCATCCGTTTATGATTTCATTTAATAACAATTATTTAATCATCATTCAAGATGACTTGTTACCCTGCATGTCGAAAATCTTTATCATGATATTCTATATATTTATTGAGCCTTGGAATACCCATTGATAGTAAGAGAAAAGTTATCGCTGCTAATGGATTTTCTAATGATAGTAAGTAAAAAAAATATTTTTTTTAAATTGAAAATAATAAGATTGATTTGATTTATTTTATTATTTTATTTTATAGAATCATTTGAATTTGATCTTTGATTTGCATGATAACAATTATGTTATCATAGAGGACATGTAATACACATGTTACAATGGTTTTAGAAGTATTGTTAGTAAATTTATATGTGAATGTGAAATTAAAGTATAAATTTAAAACATCTGTACTTAAAATTGTAGAATCTTATACTATGTATAATAATAATAAAAAATATAATTAATGATAAATGCTGAAAGAACAATTTTTTTATTTTTATTAAATTACTTATAAATTATTCTAAATGTTACTTTATTAAAACTTTTTATCCTATCTCTAAATAGATTATCCTTAGAAGGCAATCAAGTTAAATGACTGGTATTCAATTTATGCTTAATTTTAGTAATATCTATACAACATACCAAAATTCTATTAATGACCAATTTGAAAAATGTTTTTTTAAATTTACAAAAAATGAATCATACAATGATATTAAACTATTAATTAATTATATACTCTGAAAAATTGATGAGGGCAACAAATATTTATTTGTAAGAAAAATGAAAATTTTAAGAATTATCGAACTAAATTTACTAAAAAAAATTTTACATATAATTACACCAACAATATTTTTACATATAAGTGATTATAAAATAAATCTCTTAGTATAAGTACACCTTCATATAGTCACACTATTTCATAGTCCTGAGGGGTGTGATTATAAAAGGGGTCGACTGTAAATTTTTCTATAAATATAGGAGGAAGAGGAGAAATAAACGAAAGTGTAAATGTGATAAATTGTGGTATACTATGAATATTAATTAATGAGAAGGCTAACTCATTCAGTAAATTAATTGACCATGAGCAGCCATAGGTTAAATTGTGAATATTGTAATTTATTGGAATCTTAAAACATAAATTGATAGGAACTATAAAAAAACATTTTTGAACATTATAATTTATTTGGTATAAACGTATGCTTGTCAATCATACATAGAGCAACAATTACAATCAGAAAGCAATGTTCTATTTTCAGGTCTTTTTGTTGGTAATATGTGTAAAATATATGTATAATGTTC